TTTATAAACATCAGGTATGGAGTTCAAGAGGATCACAACTTTGTATTCTTCAGACACTTTATCACCAGCATTAGTGATATCTTGTACTAATTTATTAAAGGTATCAAGATTATCATCTAAATCTTTAGACCAGTCAATCTTAAAGCCAAAGAGTCTTTCTAACAGGAATATCCTATTGGGTAAAGATTTTATCAAATAAAGTTCTTCTAACTTTTCCCATAAGTCTTTAGCATTTTCAAGTCTCCCTACTTTTCTTAGTACTTGATCAGATAAATGAAGAATAATAGATGTATAGGCAAGTTCATCAGATTCAACTATTTGTTCCTCAATCATAGTGTCAGGATATTTACCAGTAATAGCCTTTGAAATTTTCTGTTGGACAAGAACTCCTCTCATTTTTTGTTGCCAAATAGGGAAGTCCCCTTTTCCATTAAAAACACCCAATTCAAAAGTGGTTCCAGTCATTTTTGAAAAACAGGTATTTTAACCAACACAAGAAACGTTTGCAGTCAATGTCCAAACAACAGATCACAGGAAATTATAGTCACAGTTATAAGAGCAGTACACGAAGTAACACAACTATAGCAGATATCAAGTACTGTAAACTGATAAAAACAGAATCAAGAAAATATCAAAGTTAGCAAGGCAATCATGAAATAGAGAATTATGAAACAATACAATGTGATAGGATTCACCAGGATTCCGCGAGGTTCACGACCCCAGGTCAAGGCTCAATCCACACCACACGTTTCAAGGGAAGGAGGAATTATATGAACAGTAAAGAGGCACAATAATATGAAATAGGTTTAGGGTTAGAGGAAAAAATTTTAACCAGCTGCCTTAAAAAAAAGTTTCAGCCACACAGTATACCAATTTCTGGATCAGCTCACAAGACAAAATCCCAATTTGAGTTCCAGCACCAAGATTCCTCCAATAATTACCAAGAACAATAAATCTCACGAAGAGATTTCAATCAGCACCAAGATCCGCCACCAACAAGATCTAGGGTTTCACAAACTTTCAAAATCTTTTCAGATCCGGTTATGAAAATCAATTTTCCACAACCAGATCGTAAGAAAATAGACTCGATTCACTAAGACAAGGCTCTAATACCACTGTAATAACAAGATCTAAGGAATACCAAAACACAGAACATATATCGAATGAACCATTGACATCAAGATCTGAATATTTAGGGCTCAGAATACATTGTACCCGTCTGTACAACATCTAAACGACCACAAAACCCTAGCCTCAATGATCAAAATAGAGGCAGCTACTTCTATGGTTCACAAAGGTCACCCAAAACATAAAATACACCTCTCAAACTATACATCAAAGAATCACCAAGACTCGGTATGTACAAATCTCTCATAGAACCAGAAGTTTTAGAGATTACAGAGAAGTCACAGAGACGAAAGACGAGAGGAGACCAAAAGTCGTAGAGAGAGTGACTAGAAGCTTCTCACACGAGAAAAAATCGGATGAATTATAATTAGGGCACAACTTAAGGCCTATTTATATCACAAGTCATCACCATAGATCTCAAACCGAGGCAATCCAAAGAACCAGAGCAGCACACATATTTATCTCATTTGGGCGGGTTTTGGGCTCAATTTCGGGTCGCGTTATTGGGCAATGGTTGGTAGTATCTGAGTAAAGGTCTGACCCTTTTATTTCATCATTGCCCTATATTGAGCTGGACCAATAAATTGGCATCACAGCCCAATAGTAACAAACGCCGCTCGGCCTAATGTAGGTCCACCCCTGTATATGGGCGTCTAGCCCGTGAATCTTAAATATGTTATGGACAACATCATAACATAATTATTCAAAACATATTTAATATTAAACTGATGACAAAATAATGTTAGTTCACATGAAATATTTTAATATCACTGTCTACATGACTTAAAAGGATCCTCTCATTGGTCAAGTCGTCTAATGTAACCTCGTTCGTACTAGTCAAGTGGTTGAGATTTGTTGTACGAAGGCACAAAGTCTTGGTTTATATACTCGATGACAGGCACAGCTTTGATAATCTTGTTTAATTAGATTAAATTATTTTATTTATAGAAAAAAGGGTAGTTAAGAGACCGAGTTTTGGTCCAACCTCGATACTGCAACAGCCCTACTAATGTGATACATTCATTCCCACAAGGTACGGCAAGTTAGAATTACTATGTATGGAAGGTAAAAAAAACAACCCCACTACCTTATTATAATACACTTGTTAAATTCCCAACTAAATCGTGCACGTAATGTTTTATTTTATACGCTCAAAATTGGTGAAAAAAATATTGGAAATCTGAAAACCCTTTGACTGCATTGAAAACAAAAGAAAAATAACAGAAATTGTAAGAAAAAGTTAGTGTTTATGTTGGAAGTGTGTCGGCCATAATTAACCTAGAAAACGGACAACATTCCTCATTTCCTTCCCTAATTTACAATAATATGTAAAACCCTTGTTTTTCTTTGTCCAAAATTGTGATACAAAAGCTCGTTCAATATGTGTCCATGCTTTATGGAGCAACGGGGACTTGCTTGTTATGAATGGGACGACGTCGTCTAACCCACGAATAATCCATTGTATAGTATTCGGATTTGTTGGCCCCTTCGACCCATTCTCTCCACGTCCCTCTTGCTGCATGTATCAGATTTTGTTCTTTAGGGTGTAGTCTATTACCTGGACATGTCACATATTCTATCGTATCAGAAGAATTAATCAATTGATAAATAAATAAATAAATAAATAAACTTCATGATCAAGAATTTCTTGAAATGGACTGCTGTTGGTGTTTGTACTTGTATATAACTATGCCTTCCAAGGAAAAAGTTTAGCAGAAAATAATAAAGCTGCAAATAATTAGGGTTTGAGAAAACCAACATACATTTACCTCTTCTTTGAGATTGAATTTCCTTGGTAGTGAAGGGATAGTAAACTGGGCATGATTAACTGCACATTCAAGAAAGGCCATAATATTAGACCTAAGGGACGAGACAACTGGTGCACAACATAGGGCAGATCGGCTCACCCAACAAGTCGAAGTACGAGCAATTACCTTGTGGAAGAGATTTTTGCAGCTGTTCTTGATCAGAAACACATGATGCCAACATAAAAGAAAGACTCAAACAAAATGCAGCATTGATAATTAACAAACCCATCACAGAAATGATATATAGAGCATTAAAATGAAAATTTTTTCACTTTTACTTATCTTGTGAAGCTTCGAATTTATAGCAATGAAATGAAGAGAGAAAGGGAAAAGAAACAGAAAGAAAACATACACAAAGCACAAAATTCAGAGTTCCAAAACGAGTGCACAGATAAATTCATATTTTTATAGTTGCCTTTTAGGAACTTTCACACCATTTGGGTTGATTTTTGTCACCTACCATGATAGGATTACAGGCCAATGGTCTTCTGACAGATGTATCTGTGATCAAAGGTCAAGCTACCCAAAATCCATAGTTAGTTACAGTATTACAAAAGCTGAATTGATTCATTCTACGTGGTATGGTACTACGTAGATCAGTCTCATTTAAAAGTTTGAACTATTTCTTTTTAAAAGTTCAAGTTGTTAAATAAAGAAACTAAGTTGCATATTTAAATCACGTCTTGAAAAATTTTCAACCGTGCTAATTAAACTAATTAATCATGTATTTACTTATTATAAGTTGGTCAAACTTTATTTTATCCAAACATTTTGTAGGATTGAAAACATTTTCCTACATTTACCCACTCATTATCTATACACTTTAGAACCCAAATAGTAGGTTGTAAAAGCCTACGTTCTGATCTTGGGTGAGCATAGTATATTTCTTATTTCCCAGTTAAATGAAGCTCGTCAACTGGGAAATACGACCGGCATATCCCCGTGGCCTTAATATAAATTCATATAAATTTTCAGCTAGCTGAAACAATCAGAGAATTTTCAAAATCATTTTAGTGCCATTACTTGAAAAGTGATTTTTTTTTTCAAGAACGCTTAGTTAATAAGTCTGGAATAATTATGGGGAAATATGAAAAATGATATATACAATTTGTTACATTCAAATTTCTCTGGGAACAAAAATAAAGTTGAGTTCTTTTTCTCACGCTTGATAGTTGAACGCAAGAGCAAATATTGTCCCAACTATTTGAACTGGTTCAAAGAATTGATTGATCCTTGTGCATGGACTGAATCTAGCTAGGATACCGTCGTAAGGATCTGCAACTACAATTTGTATTGAAAGAAATTCGAAGGTCACTATCACTCATGTAGTGGCAGGAACCTGATAGTTTCCGCAGCAAGTCCTCTCTATTTACTCAATCGATGTCGCTTATTCTATTTCTATCAACAAAATTGAAGTTTTCTTGCTGGGAATAGAGAACACACACACACACACACATACTTAGAGAGTGGCTGGAGGACAGATACAAGAACACAGATACGAGGGTTTTTAATAACCAATTAAACTTAACACTGATAAACCATTTCCATGATCAATAGCCATAAGTTAAAATAATACAAAAATTGCAGACATGGCTTTATATTAAAATTAAAGCACGATTTCATGAACCTAATACATAATGCAAACCAAGGCTTAAAAAAAATCTCTACATGTATACTTGCAGGCAGTACTCAATGTCTAAATTAGGGTGTTGATGATGTATATCTGAACCATGAATCTATTAGTGTATGGAAGAATTTAGAATCTACAGCAAAGAAGACCAGATCTCCAACTCCAGCGTCTCCGAAAATGTCTCCTGTCGGCTTTTGCCATTCGTACAGGACTGCTATTCCATTCAGATTGTAATCTGTAAAACGAGAAAAAACTGATTAGCAAATAGCTAAAAATCCCAACATAGGAAGAATCAATATCTTAGACGAGGCTAAAGCTTACACTGGGAAGGCAAAGGACCGAGCGCTGGCTGCACTGGTATCAGATCGAAGAGAGAGGCTCCCAGAATAAGCTATTGGCCCTGAGAAAGTAATAAGGGCTGCATCTGAGAAGCTCAACTCTCCCCCATCACGTTGGACCAAGTTTGTGACCGGAACACTGCCACATTTGTCGACTTCATCCTTAAAAACGTCATGTGTCTGAACGGCTTCATTGTGAACATTTTGAGAAGTCTTATCCTGGATGCTAGCTACCTGGACTTGGCCATCCGAGGAAGTAGATTTCTTGTCTAAGTTGTCTTGGAGGTTGATGGATGGTTCATGAACATTTGCATTGATTTCGAACTTGTTGCTAGTGCACTGAACCGGGGTACCTTCCAAAAGATTGTCGGAATTTTGAAACTCAAGATGACCTTTGTCCTCTGACTTGTCGGATTGTGCATCGACATTTTCAACACATCCATCATTACTGCCAGATGCTCCGGATTTGGGTGAGTTGAAGTTAAAAGTAATACTTCCACGGTCCACTTTACTATTGTATGGTAAGTTGCCAGCTTGGACATTCTTATTTGGTTCTGTATTTGTCGATGATGCAGTTTGACTTCCAGAAATTGAATCTCCATAAGGCATCTGCATAGCAAACAATTATAATTGAACTTCAATGACAAAAATGAATCTCCAGCATGTCCATGTAAACTTTTTAAGTATAAGTTGTAATGTCCTAAGTTATAAGCTTATACATGCATTTACGAAATTCTGCAAGGAAACAGTTCGCCTAATTATTCGGCAATGACTTCTAAACCGATTTATCACATGGCGAACATATGAGCTTTAAGAAGTGGATCAATTAAAATATGGTAACACAAACCTGATCAGGTGTTTGTGCAATTTTATTTCCATCACTGTTCAACGAGTTGAGAAAAGATCTAAGGAAGCTTCGAGTACCAAAATTCTGCATTGGAAGTTTGGCATCTACAAAAGATTCCTCTTCCAGAACATATCTCTTAATCTTGGCAAAAGAACCATCATTTGGTTCACAAAAGTTCATTGAGTCCTTTAGATCACATTCCTGAACAGTATCCTTGTCACAAGATATTTCCGAGACAGATTTTGGCCTGATGAGCAAAAGTGATTTGTCATAGCTATATTCCTTGGTCCCATAATCTTTACCGGGATCATCTTTGGCATCCTCCACAGTAAAAGATCGTAAACCATCTGGAATGAGCACTTCCGCATGATCGCCTCCTTTTGCTGTTTTACAATCATCCTTAATGCTTTTGGTCAAAACTTTGCCTTCCGTGGGCATCCCCTCATCAACGCATATATCTTTGACAATATTATAATTAGTCTCTTTGTAGCATACTTCGAACTCAGGCAGCTCACACTCTGTAATATCTTTTTCAGTATATAATTTTGTACCCGACTCTAACATATCTGAAGCAGCAACGCTTAGTCGATCAGACTCTCTTGGATCATTATCATGACCATGAGCAAATCGTTCAATAAACACAGTACCTTCAAGCTCCAGATCATTTCCAAATTTGCCATTGTCCTCTGTATCAGAATCCAATGGATCTGCATCCCACTCACGGTCACTTGGAATTCCATTCTGATCTTCCTTTTTCGAAGAATTTAAATTTCCATATTCATTATCCTTTCCAAAAGAATCCACAATTTTAGCGTTCCAAGGTTCATCTCCAGTTTTAGCCTCTAATTCAAAAGGAGCCATCTCCCTTCCATGTCCATTTAAGTGATATATATCTTTAGCAGTGAAGGCCAGAGGATCTATCTCCCTCTCAAAGCTATTCGAATGATACAAAGTTCCATTCTGATTTTTCTTCATTGTCACCTTTGATTTAGCTGAGTCAAAGAAACACATTCAAATGGTTTAGAATGAATTTTAAATGCGAGAGTTGAACGAGTGAACACAGGTTCGTTATCTGCAGGTTGATTTAACTTGTTAATATATGTCAAAGCTTGGAAAGGCAATAAAGGAGCTTTTATATTTACTCATACAAGTTATGAGACCGTCAAAGCTTACATTGATTTATATAACGTGATTTTCAGAATTACCATGAAAGTAAGTAGTCCTCAGGAAGATGGCAAGCCATTCTTTTGTGGATTGCATTCTTATTGAATACATTACAACTATAACTAACTAAATCATACATAATGTAAACCTCCAAAACGCAATCAGCACAGAAAAATACATAGATGATTTTATTAGTATATTACTCCACCCGAAGAGTGGAATTAATGGTGACAACTCTTGCTCCCCCACCTTTTGGCGTTCTGGGGCCCTAATATATATACCCGAGAAACATTGCTGGCTGTTTTAAGCTACTTGCCAGGTAAGGCTGTAGGCAACAATCAAGATTTCAACAACGTAACTTTTCAAAACACACCAAGCTTCATAAGTTACATCCCTCGATATATTTTGGAAAATTCTGAAAGAGCCAAGAAGCAAAACATCCACTAGCCAAGCATATATGAAAACAGGGTAGAGTGGCCAAACTCTAATGTTAATGAGCTTGAGAAACAGAAAATTGACAGAAAGAAGAATAATCACCAAGCGAGAATAACAAACCATTCTGTTAACTGATCAATATATACTTTTAGGCTTCTAGCTTCTAAAAGTCCCATTATCACTAGATTTGACAAACAGAAGAACACTTTCACCTAAAACATAATGACATTAATGATCCAAATCTCAAATCAATTCACAAAGGAAATTAGATGAAACGTTAGAATTCCACCAATCAGGATATACAGTATTAGCCTTTTTCATTCTCATGATTAGCAATCTATAGAAAGCCAGATACCACGAAGCATGATTGTTAAACACAGTACAAACAAAAACAAAAACTTGAAAAGATCACAGCCACCAACAAATACTTACAAAAGCGATCAAATTGTTAGTTATAATTATCGCCAAGACAAGAAATAAGCAGTAATTTTGCAAAGTCTAGACAATGTACAGTGAATCTTGGAAACAAATAATATTAAATAACTATATTCAAAATTCATATCTCAATTCTCACCCTGCAAAACTTTCCAAGTATACCATTCGCCTTTCTAATTGTTTTCTCCTTTTATGGACACTTTCTTTAAGACTTTGCAGGAAAAGGAACTTTTGTGCGAGTAAAAAACAATAGTGGACAAGCTTTGGAATCTTCCCTTTGCTCATATACAAAGAGAGGACAAGAGAAAGTGATCACTTTTCAAAAATCCCAACAACCTTCTAACAGCTAAAATATATTTACAATCCATTCACTACTTAAAAGTCAAAACCCCAATCCAAACCGTTTGTTCTGTGACTTCTGTCCTCTAGCTCCCTATCACACTCATCCACATCTGAACAAACCCTTTTATATAATATAACTAATCATGCCTTTTTATACTATCATGAATTTCTCCGCTATCTCAGTCACAAAAAGAATTTCAAGAAGATCCGAACAAAAAATGAAAGTAAAAAATAGAATTAATGTTAAACAATAAAATAAATAAATAAATCACCTGATTGCTCAGCAGACCAAAAGAAACTTTTCTTCATCTCTTCAGAACAAATTATAAAATCGCTTTTCACTGCAAAGTTTCAGAATGATCAGACATTTTTAGTGTAAAATATACACATATATTGAGTGTATCCACGTAACTCATTAAAACTGCAAAAAAGCTACAAAAAGTAGATCAGTGAAGGCAGATGAACCTTGAGATCTAAAACATCATCCACAAATACAAAAAACCACAAAAGGATATACGTATATACGGAAGATAGATACAAAACCTCTTTACTGTGTGGGTGTGTGTGTGTGACAGAGAAAAGAGATGCAGACCTTGGTTTCGTATCTGTTTGTAGTGCTACTATGTATAACAGTGAAAGAGAGATTAGGGGAGCGTTTTTAATTTTCATGAGAGATTTTAATTACGAAATTCCAGTCAGCTATATAAGGTATGAATATCGAGCCGTTTGATTTGCTCTACAAATGGATATTCCACCGGTCCCCCACCCCCAAGAGACTTATGATAGAAAGAGAGAGACATATGGCCACCAGTCAACTCTCTCTTTCTCTCTCCCTATGACTATGTATTAAGGATTTTTCCTTGAGAATTGGAAAAACTTACAGAATTTATATAGAATTTTGAAATGAAAAAATCATGTCCATTTGTATTTTATTTTTTTAATATTTGAATGATGTTTTAATATTTGTGACTGTGCAAAAATTCTGTACTTGTAGCATAATTATGTATTAAATGTATGTCATTCTCTTCCTCTTTCTGCACCAAGTCTTTTCTTATCTTCTTTCTCTCTCCCTATGACTATGTATTAAGGATTTTTCCTTGAGAATTGGAAAAACTTACAGAATTTATATAGAATTTTGAAATGAAAAAATCATGTCCATTTGTATTTTATTTTTTTAATATTTGAATGATGTTTTAATATTTGTGACTGTGCAAAAATTCTGTACTTGTAGCATAATTATGTATTAAATGTATGTCATTCTCTTCCTCTTTCTGCACCAAGTCTTTTCTTATCTTTAGCCACATATATTTTTAATAAAATAATATTACATACAAACCTAAAACTTTTCCTCATTACTTAATCATAATATCCCTCATTTTACTATTTTAAAATACATTCTTAGCCAAATAGTGAGACTCAATCAAGGGTGTTGATACACACATATGTATGTAGCCTCTGTTTGGTAATCCCTTTCTTTCAAAACTCTTTTTTTCATACTCATTATTAACTATATATTCTCACGAAATAATATTTTTTTTACATAAACTCAAAATTTGTTCTACTTTATAATCATACATTTTCCAAAAATTTACTATTCAAAAATTGTTCTTCCCAAAAAATCCTGTCAAAGAGGAGCATAACATGACGGTGCACCAATGGGAGTAATAAATGGGGACTAAGAGGGTGTCCTCAATACAGATTGTGGTGAATTTTAAAAATTCTTATAAATTTAAATGTTTCCAATTGAGATTTTTAATAGATTTTAATGAAATTCATTAAAATTTAGTTGTCTACAATTGAGATTTTAATGAAATTTAATAAAATCTTTTAGAATTAAATATCCTTAATAATTAGTGAATTTATAAAGATTTTATAATAAATGAAACTTAAAAGATTTGAATGAATTTTAAGGTTAAAAATACATATAATCAAATCTTTTGAAATTTCAGATATTCTTATGGAATTTGTGAAAATCTATTTCAATTCACGAAATTTATTAAAATTTTATCCATTAAAATTGATCAAAATTTCAGCTAAGGATAACCTGTAATGCTATTTAGCATTATTGGTGTTACAATATTAATTTAGGTAACATTAAATTATATGAAAAATAAAATTAAATGAATAGTATAATTATTTATTAATGGAAGGATAGAGATGGCTTAAAAGGCATTAATTATTGAATAATGCTATTCATGATAAGAATTATCGATAGTTGCTCTATGTAGTATATATATGGCAGTTTATTATTTAATGTATTAAATGATAATTGTTTATTGTCTGATGCATCAAATAAAAAGTTATTATGTAGAGAGACTACTGATAATTCTTGACTTTTAATTATTTCCAAAAATTAATGTTTCAATTCCTTAATTAAATTTTGTTACTTACTATTAAGGAAAGCAACGTTAACTAATCCTACATCGTTTTTGTCTTTAGCATTATATGAATGGAATCTTGATATGGGTTATGGGATGTGGGAAAGGTCTGACAATGGAATCGGTGGATATGAATAGAATAAAAGAGAGAATTTTTTTATATATATTCTTATTC